ATATATACATAAGCATGTACATGAAAGTGTGGGGGTATATATGTGTGTATGTGTGTGTAGTGGGTACCGGTTAGATATACGCTCAAGAACCTGGCATTTTTTTTAATGATAACGGGGCTTTTTTGTGAGGTTTGAACTTTTTTTATGTTTGAACCGACTGCTTTCAAACCTCGCTATGAATATTAAGTACAGTTTATGAGAATTTTTCAAGATTTTTCGAGGGTGATACGTCAATGGCTTACGTACGTTTCGGAGGAATTGCCTCCCTCATCAGAGACTCACGCCCCACTAGTCAGCCCCACTTTATACTAAGGCAACACATTCACTGCCAGTCGTAAACCGCTAACTGAAAAAGTGTTGATAACCACGATAACGTGTCATTATCAAAAACACGTCTTCTTATTTCTGCTTCAAACGGTTGACTTCCGCAGACCTAAACTGGACGTGCACGCCAGCTTGGGTACGACTCTACCCCCCTCCGCCCCGTTTAATTGCCGATTGCAGTACTACTTTTCCTTGCAGCAGCCACAGCTAAGATCTGGACTAATTCATGTGAAATCTCACAACGAAAAGTAGTACTGCAGTCGGCAACTAATCGGGGCAGAGGAGGTGTAGCTGTTTTCACACTAGCATTTGCGCCTAGTTTGGGTCCACGGAAGTCACCCGATCAAAGTAATGTGGAGCGTATGACTCTGCTGAGGCGGGCGATTTCGCCGAGACGTACGTAAGCCTCTGACGTGTCAATCTCGAAAGGGTTTAAAACATCCCACAGACTGTTCCCATTGTAATCTACCCACTCATTCCAAACTGAGAGCGAATGTAGCGCAGTGGTTGAAGGTGCTCTGAATCGCAGGATAGGGTCGATCGTTCGATTTCTCGTCCAACACTCACCAAGCTGGCAATTTTTCCGGGGTCGGTGATGATATCTGATTTCTCTGAGAGGATAACGAGCACTGATTTGATACACTGTTGGGCCACCGCAAGTCATTATTTATAGTACATCCCCTCAAACGATCTATCAACGCCGAGAACTTATGTTTAATCTAAACTCGTAAAATATTCAGCTTTTAGCCGGTCTAAATCACAATTTTCTGAAGAATAGTCTGCTCTCAGTAAACGTTCTAGGCCAAGGATGATTAGTTTGTGATATTTGGTGGAAGTGCAGAAGATTTTGGTGATTCGAATGACCTATTTCATTTTGTTCATCTTTGGATTATATCTTTCTGTTTTCAATTGTTTTCGAGACCTCGCGCAAAACACTATAATCTGAAAGCATATATTGAGCTTTTCATGTCTTTTATAGCACTTATACAGTGCAAGACACGTGTTTCGGCATTACAACCTCGTCAGTTGCACGATGTCCTTCGGTTCAGTCAGTTCATTGCAAGGAAATAAACCCTTTGTAGAGGAACCGACGCCGGTATACTTACACTTGCAGCGAAAACTATAAAATTACCCAACAAGAAGTGTTGTATCGCCTCTAAATTATCGACACCTACCACGAGTTACTGTAGAAATCACTTATCCATTTGAAAGCCTCGATGCTTAGTGAATCGAATGTGTGACTTTGACTTAAGAAATGAGCAACACCGAGACTTTATCCTTTTTTGCCCTTCTTCGAATCATATCGTAAGATGTCGGCAGGCACAATTTTTATAGTTTCATTGTCTGCGTTGCTTCGACATTAAGCCTTTTCATTTGAGTAAATGAAACCTGTGAGGTTAACTCTCGTCTAGGAAATAGCCTAGAGATACAAGGTATGTACATATAACCTTTTGACAACGACGTTCAAATCTTGCGCGGCGGGCTTCATGTGGTGTTTTCTAATAAAATTCACGTTTTTGTCGCCACAATTTCATCTCCTGTAGATGGTATATAATGCCAAAAAATGCGCCATGAAGTTGAAAAATGGGCTTCAATTGCAAGACTTTATCTATCTTTCGTTAGTAGAAGTCTTTAAACAGACCAAACTTACTATGCATATCGGCATTTCTAAGCCTATTTTACGACCACAAATAGAAGAGGTTATGAAGAAGAAAACAAATACTATATAGTAGTTGGTAATATGTTCCCTTTCACAACGATTGGTTTTCTCGTCCAAGCATAAGAGGATTTCAACAGCTAAACGTTATTTTATTAAATAATTCTTTATAAAAGTTTTCCGTGGTATTCCATCATCTAATTAAGAACTTCAATTTACAGAGTAAAGTCCCATATTTCCATTGCAGGGCGCGCGGCACGGCTTAAAAACACCCGTGTCGTTGTCAACGGGTTAAGCTACATCAACGTTTCTTCAAAACACAGTTCGCAGATCGAAAAAAAGAAGCCCGTTGTTGCGACATTTATCGAAAATAATTATACTTTCCTTACCAAAAAGAAAATTCAAAATCAACCACCTCACATATCTCATTATGTGAGACTGCATAAACGATCGACCATTGCGTGGGTCTCATATGCCACTCAACGGTACCTCAAAGCACCTCACTCGTCTGTAGTGCAGAGCACCTTCAGCCGCACATGGCCTCTCACAATGAATTGTTTTTACATGAGTAGCATAAATTCTGTACATCTCACCGGCCTACTCAGCACTGAAAATTTCGACATAAGAATGATAGAGACCATCCCACTATAAGTGTCGACATCGAAGGAATTTTTCACTAAATGTGCTTGAAATGAGAAGTCTGTAGATCCAAGAGACTGGAACCAATGTAACGCACCGGTTCTTAAAGCACTTCTACTATTGAACCTTGAGATTGGTCAGTTTTATTTGAACTTTCTCGTGGTGCTTAACTCCTTTCAGACGATTCCATGTCGAACACTACTTTTGACGTTCCACTTCAGCAAAACCAACGACATAACAGTTTATTGATTTAGGATTAAGATTATTCCCTAGCAACGAGTGCATGCATTATGCCCCTAGATTTATTGTTTTAAAATCAGTCAGTGTCATAAAATATGTTGTAGAATTTCAAATAAAATGGAGATTCCGTATGGCAATCCTGTACGTGTATTGGTTCAGAATAGCTATGTAGTTAAAAAATGAACACTTCGATCCGTTGAGTTTGAAGTGGGCACCATAAGTCACGTCACGAGCCGCGCGTGGAGAAAATCCAATTTACTATGCAACTGAAGTAGTAAATTTATCTGATAAATTGAGGTTCTAAAAGGATATTTCGAATATCAGATGATGGAAACGACAAAATAGACTTCCATAGAAATTTTTTTCACTATCAAAAACACCCGTGTAACAAAAAATTCCTTATGTTTCAACAATATAGGCCACATCTTTTCATGAGGGTGCACTTTTCAATGTTACATGAGCATGTTTCAATTTCAATCTATGTTTTGGTAGTAGCACGAAAGCTTGAAAATCGCCAACGTCTGATTCACAATTAGTATGCGAAACGACCTTATACATATAGTTCATATACTATGTTGTATTCTCCTAAGATTCTTTTCCATTCTCAGGGTACAAATAGGGAAACGATCTCTCTCAGGGAAAACAAAGTTTCCATAGGAGTGTTAGTGATCATTCGAAAGCTTAAATCTCTGGCTACAGCGCTACAGAGCCAATTTTCGAAGAACTCTTTTGTAACACTGTAGCGCACAAAGTAAAATTATGCTTCACTCCCGCAGCGCACATTCATTTCTATCACGTGTATAATTCGCTGCAAGCACGAAAAAGCATATGAAGTGCGGAGGAAATCTGATTGTATCTGAGTAGCTCGCTTTATCTGAGATCTTCCTCAAAGCGGAGAAAAAATTTAATTTAAATGACAAGTTGCACTCCACATGTCTATCGCGTTAGGCTGTCGATCAACCGCCTCGCCCTTCAGTCCGTAAGTCAACCGTAAGCTAGCGCGCCGAAATGTGAAACGCGATCTTATCTTCCTTGCTAAGATGCAATGAAATGGTCTTTGCGGAAATAAGCACACTGATGGATTCATCGAAACTTACGCTGTCTAAATGATGCACCTAGAGAAAGAGCTCTATCTAGTGAGTGTAAAGCACATATCTTTTTCTCCAACAACGCCATCAAAAGAGCTTTTCGAAACGCAAATTTTGAGTTCTTCGAACCTGTGCTATCAAGGAGTACTATCGCTCTTGGAAGGAGTTTTGTCCAGCGAAATATAGGACGTGATAGGAGAAAAAAGGCGTGCGGTCGTGTGAGATACAATATTAGTTTGAATTTCACAAAGCTGTGAAAGGGTGTTTTGAAAAAACCGACCATGTACTGCGCTAGCCAGAGGTTTAAGCTGGCAAATGATTCTCAGACACTTGTGAAAACTCTTTACCAAGCGAATAGGATAAAAATCTATTTGTTCCCAGGATAACGGAAAGGGCTTTGTTAACAAAACAAAGATAACGTTTCTTTTCAAAATGCCTTATTTCTTATTCACAGTGGTCCTTTGGTATTATATACTAAGATTTTGATTCCAAGAGACTATGTTGCTGTCAAAAATAGTTCATTTCAATAGGACTTACATAAACGTATTCTACGAAAGCTAGATTCCCACTTCGTCATTGCGAACTAGTGTGGAACGCACTTCTAAGCTATGGAATGTACTTGTATTTTCTCACCACTTTTCTGTGTATAGGCTTTCACTAAACTATTGAAACAATTTAATAGCTCAAAAATGGAAAATTCAACACTCGACTCGGTTTATGAAAAGACCTTCATGATGCGTTCTTTCGTTTTCGCAGCGCGTTGTACCAACTCCATTGCGGATTCCTTGCGATCATATGGTAAACCTTCGACCCTAGGTAAACTTTCTTGTAGCAGAAAAGTGGATATATTGGAGATGACTTCTTTTACTTGTAATTTCTAGTGTTCTGACTGCCTTTTTCGCAGTGCTATGATGTCACATATATACACTAAGAGAACTGAGTGGTGCGTAAAAATACGACCTCAGGCGGTAGTCGAACCCGCGTTTCATCCATACCGAGGACGCGTGCTTAACACCACTACACCACCGAAGAGTGAGTGGTGGCGCGAATGTATCTCGGTAGTGCATGGTAGCACGCATCCCCGGCATGGGTCAGACGCGGGTTCGACTTCCGTCTGAGGTGGTAACTTTGCTCACCACTCAATTCTCTTAGGGCATATATGGAACTTCTTTCCAAAATTTTCAGTAGAATGAACGACCAGTTGTGCTGAAAAAAAACTTACTTTTCATGGAATGTACTTGTGAAACATGAAACATAAATCTATGAGAAAAAACGCGCTTCCAGCAACGAACAATGATCATAGTTAAGTATACGCCAATGGATTAAAGAATGTTGGCAATAGGACAACAGAACAAGGTTTTACTATACCTCAGTAGAGGTTCTGACTTGGAATAATGTCAGCTCTTAGCGATAAAGTGATGTCGCATTGCAAAGTGCAGCCATTTTTGACAAATCATTGATTTGGAATTGTTTTGACATGATTCAATTACATATAGCTTTACTGAAGTCTCTTCTATCACATCTCATCATTTTCTGCCGACTAAACTTTTTTTAGCAGAAACAAAAGTAAATTTTACATTATAGAACAATCATAATGTTGTCGTAACGCGCTGCGCTCGCCACGTGATCGCGCCTCCTGCCGCGTGAGAAAGCAGCATAGGACTCAGCGGGTTATATAAACAACGTTTGTGCTCAATAACCACCCCTTCTTAATACGTTTTCCATACATACCCACATATTTGAATTGATTCACACTATGCTATTTGAGCCGTTTAGAGCAAGAGAAAGACATTTTCAAGAAAGGAAAAAACTTTCTTAGTTGATGGTTCAAAGCAAGGTTCATTAGTTTGCGGAAATACGGATGATTCGAATCATTTACAAATATTTTATATCATTCTGTCCTGATTCAGATCGCCATAAATGATGTGCATCAACTACTTTCTGCTAGTTTTATCGTCGGCGCTAGTAAGGAATCAAACTTGTCAACTTTTTTTTTTCGTTGTAAACGGCGTTATAGCGGATTTTGAAGGTAATGCTAGACGGGAGAAGATATAGATGTGGAAATGAACGGAGTAATTACTTCCAAGGTCTTGTGACATATCTCCATAACAAACCTCGCAAGAATAATCGTCTGCCACAGGTGGTAAGATTTTCCGTCAAATTTATAAACATTTCTTGATTTTAAAAAAATTGCAAGTGATCGTATGTTTTGCATCGGTACTAAATTGGCATTTCTGATGCTCAAAATAGTGCAGCAACTTAGGATACTCTTTGGTGGATTGGCCAAAGCTATACTAATGCTGGGTAATGCTTGCGCACAAGATGAGCCTTTCGTCAACGTTCAAATGCTGATACACTTGAAACTAAGATATCAGGAACAGCTTCTTGAAGCAAGGTATCTTACTGACGAGAATTTTCAAGCGTTAATTTCTGTGTTCTTGGAGCTTCATACGTTGACTATCTACAATTCTGTTGAAACGTAAGATTGTATCCATCGAGTGGTGTACATTGTAGAGTAAAAAACTGACCTACATGCTCATGATCCACCTTTGAACTCATAGAAGCTTTTCTCTAAATGATCTAGGTGTAGATGCTCTTCTAAAAAACTCGCCATTCGATGCAAAACTTGAAGTGTAGCTTTAGCGATTGTCACAATTCGTCTACTAACTCAAATAGTTTCAAGCGTAAATGAACTTTTCTTTTGCACCTGCTCTGGATAGATTTTTCGAAAAGCTTTGACCCATCTTCCAGAAGCTTGAACTTAAGTGAACTTTTGGTCGACCTTACTCCACCAAAAAGTGGAATTTTCATAATTCTGATAGTAGGTAGTAAGAACGTCAAATTAGAAAAAGATTTGATGCTAATTTATTCAGAACTACAGCTGTGAACTGGAGAAGTCAGCAGTTCAAGCAGTTGACGGATGTCCGCCCATTGCTCCCAACAACTCCGACGTGAACTACTCAAACTTTGAACAGTATCATCTTACATTTTGAATAAGACGTTGCAAAAAGTTAGAAGAAAATCAAGTAGCACTCCTCAAGTCTTATAATTCAGCTTCGAAGTTGGACAAGGACCCATCAATGTGAGTCACGCCACCCTAGTGTTTCGAATAACATTGTATTGGTGGACTGTACGTGAAAACTTCAATAAGGTAAGCTTTCTTAAGAAATAATCCTAGCAAAGAAAAAAAACTATGTCTGCTCGAGCAGATGGCGCGGAAGGATATCAAAAGTGTTGGTTGCGCTGTGGCCAAATGCCCAGAGTCAAATGGAACAGTTAATGTCAGCATTGCATGCTTCTAGTAAGTTTTATTCTCGGAAAAGAAAAACACTCGGCAAAACTATTTTGGTAGCGAATGAATAAGAAACTCATGTAATGTTGCGTTATTGAAAGCACCGATTTGCTTTCAGTGCTGTCACGTTCGATGAATTCACTGAAAATATAGCACATACATTTTTTTTGATTTATTACTCTACTTGTGCAGAAATAAGATAGTGCGATACTCCGACGCAACTGTTGATTATACACTGACATTCAAGAAACGAGCTCCCACAGATCCGTAGTTACGTGCCGTTTGTATCGTATCAAATGAAGAGAGCCCATTTTATTTTTCCGTTTCAAACATCTTACCAAATCGGTACCATTCTCCCAGAAACGAGACATTTACTCGCCAGAACAAGTATTAATGTCAAAGAAATGCTAGAGGAATAAATACTGATCAAACAAACAACTGAGCCCCAGCACGATTCTCACTGGAGACTGTGACGCTAGACGATGATGACGTCGTTAAATGACTCCCACAAGTCAACCACCTGCAAAGAAGTAACGAACCATTGCAATAGGAATAGCCACGATTGAACTCATATCAGCAGTGCGCGAGCAAATCAGATGCTATCCAGAAATAAACGAAGTGATTTATCAAATAGAAAAAGTTCTCTATTTCAAGGGTTACAAGGGTAAATAATATTTCAGAAGATTGTTCCAGAAAAATTATGGTAAGTCAGCCATAATACTTAAATGATTCTGAAGACTTCAAGTATTAAACTAAGTCAAACTTTTCGTTTAGTGATAAGGATAAAAGTACGCAACTTCCGCAGACATGTAATGGGACAGATGCAGAAACGAAAAAAGATTTACTGAATCGCCATAAAAAGAAGAATACATCACTGGTAGCAAATTTTAGAAAAACTTGGCCGCTTCTTCTTTATTTCCTTTGCAGTCTCAAAATATTAGCTTTGACAGAACATTCTGTATAGCTTTGAGGACTTCTTTTCATTTACATTGCCCAAATACATTCAACGAATTCTCATAATTGCTATCTAAGCCAGCCTGTCATGTGGTCTGTTGAATGGGCTCTTGTACAGCCCGATAAGCGTGTTTTGACCTTACAGTCTCGTTAATCGCGCAAAATCCTTCGTCTTTTAGCCAATCCTCTGTAGGTGCTCCACTCCCCCACACTGAAAAGTAGCGACGACGAACGATTTACGCTGCACTGCTGTCAAGTGAAAATCACAAGAACACCAGTTTTGTACACACAGCCAAGAGTAATCAAGTGTACAAAACTGCTGTTCTAGTGAATTTCACTTGACAGCAGTGCAGCGTAAATCGTTCATCGTCGCTACCTTTTAGTATGGGGAGTGGAGCACCTACAGAGAATTGGCTAAAGACGAACGGTTCTGCCCGTTAGACAAGGTTGTAAGGTCGAAACACGTGCATCGGGCTGTACAAGAGCCCTTATAACAGATCACATGACAAGTTGCCTTAGGTAGCAACTATAAGATATGTTGAAATTTGAGCGTGGTCTCAAGAAAACACTTGAAAATGATGGTTCAGCATTTAGTTCGCAAAGCTTGATGATTTTGGTGTGGCAAAGAATTCTTGAAATTCTGCGTTGTTCAACTAAAAGATTTTTCTTGAATTACTGTTCGCTAAGGAGTGGAGCTGTTATTTGGAGGAAAAGGCCAAGAAAGCTGCTATCGGATGCCCATCAACACTATCCAAACGAGTCTAGCAACAACGATAACATTGAAAGGTACTAAAATGCATTTGAAATCACTGTAGCTAAACCACAAAAATGGAATAAAATTAATCATCACGTTTTATGCTTGCTGTTTTACTCGCAACTTCCCAGCTGGAAAGGCTAATGTTGGCGACGAAAGTCTACGAATTCGATTAAGACAGAATTTTGGAAAACTACTCAGCATAAAGTGGTATGTTTCGCAGTTTGTAAAGAATTCTGATAGCAAAAAAATCTGCTCAATTAGACAACATGGAAGAATATAACCCACATTGGTTGCTTCATAACCAACTGCTCAGAGTCTAATGGAACGTACCCTTACACCATAGTGTGTTTTTACAGCAACGGGTGAGCTTTTTCCAGAAGTACAACTAGGAAAAATAAAATTCGATAACAGCTCTAACGACGAGATTCCAATTTCCTTCGTCTGTATTTGTGATCAAAAGCAACCGTAATCTCGATAAACATCTCTCATCTGTTGTCTGCATTGTATCATATTATTAGCTCCGAGTCTCTTGCGAAACATTCGTCCACAACAACAAAAGTTGAAGTTCCCGCTAAGATTCTGACGACCAAAGTAGACTCTGAAAAGCCAAAGCTTACAACAACATCGATGGATGCAACTACTAGAGTGTTTTGCCTTAAATCGACAGAACAAATTGTTGTTGGACGAAGTGAGTCTATAATTACTGAAGTTTGCTTTTTCATACCAATAATCAAGTATTATCTACAACGCATATTTGCTAGCGCACATAAAAGCTATAAAAGGGTAAGTTGAGCGAATAAGAAGTTGCGAGCATGACGTGATAGTCATGAGTTATCTGATAAACATTTACGTCAGATGGGATTTGAACTCACATTTCACCTTATCCGTCGATTCCTGCTGAACCGTTGCACTACCGACGCCTGCTTTGACATTACTCTTTTAACGCTACAACGCGTTATGTGTCAACCAGCCAACGTCCACAATTTGTTGTGGGTACTCGCTATCGCCTCTGAACGTGTCCCCAGATAGAGTGGAATATGGGTTTGAATCCCAACTAACGCAAATGTTTTTGCACATCACTTTTACCATCGGATAAATTATAAGATCTTACCACCGCTA